TCTCTCTCTCTCTCCCTATATATATATATATATATATAAGATTGTATAGAAAAAGCAAGAGCAAGGGAACAACAAAAACCATGTGCTAGACGAAACTTGGCTAACACCTTCACACACAAACGAAATATGCTTCTCTGTTACCTCAGGCCTCTGGTTCATGGCCCTTTCTGCGCCTTTAGACCGCTCTTCGTTTCCATAGCTCTACCAAAGTAAAAAAAGGAGGGAAAACACAATCAGAAAAAAGAAGTGCCAAAGGCTTTTGACACCACTCCTCAATCGGTCCCACAGATTCCCACACGCAATGACGGACACTCACCTATGCATATATTTGTATATATGAGTGTATATACATGCGTACATATATATATATATATATATACTGGTATATATACTGGCATATACAAATATATACATACAAATATATGCATACTCCAAGCAGATAGAACGTTGTTCCTTTTTTTGTCTAAAGCAAATCGCACTCTATTTGCGTGTTTGTTTAGACGCATGTAGAGGATGTGGAGCTCCCACGTTATCCATGAACTGTGGCAAATTGATATTGTTGAAGGTCGCCACCCGCATATTCATCGGTTTCACGTCACCCCGAAGAGAGGTGCGAGTGGGTTGGGGCAAAATAACACCCGCAGATGACGACGTCCTTGCACCCGATTTTGTGACAGAGCACGTTTTGCTGAGTGTGCCCTCACGCCGATGCTCCGTCACTGCCCTTGTTGCAGTTGCTTCGCTCTCGTCGCACCCTTTGGACAAGCTACTGGAAGTGACGCCAAAGCTTTCTAGGTCCTTGGTATTGCTTAAGCGTTTCGGGAGGAGGGCACCTCCAATAGACGCTGTGGGCTGCACGGCTTTGAACGCCTCTATCAATTGTTGGCTCTCAGTAAGACTGACGCTTGGGGCAGGGAGTGTCTGTGACAACAACTGCTGCTTCTGTTTCGACTTTGCCCGCGACGCAGAGGCGGCGACGGCGCTGGGCAGACGCTTCTTCGTCCCTGACGCGGAGAGGACCGTTGCCGCACGCTGCGCAGAAGCCGCAAGCCTCTCCGCGTGGCGCACATCAGCCTCAACGGCCTCGGCAACTTTCGTCTCGTACCGCGAGTCGTCCAGCGCGGTGTCGGTCGCAGCGAGAGCGAGCTCCTCGAACATGTCCTTCAGCTCCGGCGCCGCGTTGTCGCAGGTAGAGTTTGCAGCTTGTGCGACCGTGCAGAACGCTTTGTGCAGGGACAGCAACTGCTCCAGCGTGAGCAGAGCCTTGCTTCGCATCATTGTGCCGCTATTTCTCGCATTGAGCGTGCCAGCCAATAGGTCCGACTCTGAGGCGGCGGATTTTCGTCGTTGTGCTTCGAGCTTCGCCTCAATGTCTGCCAGCCGCATATCAAATGTGGAGCCCAGGTACACGCTGCAGCCGACATCGTGCTTTGCAACGGCTTGTTTTACAGCGACGCGAGGTTCGCGATTCGCGATCTGCATAACAGCGGAGTTCACGAGATCCACTATCTCGAACAGCATCTCGCGGAGTGCGTGCTGCATCTTCTCCAGTACCGACTCGAACGTCTTCTTGGGATTCACCAGCATGGACGCGGATGTGGAGGTGTGGGTACGGAGGATCTCAAGCAGCACCCCGTACATGCTGTGCAGCCCCGAATCCTGCACATGTTTGAGGCGGTGACACATCCGGAACGCGCCTTCGCGTAGGCGTGCCAGTGAATCCTTCTGTGTGGAACGTTGTACCTGCGTATTGATGTAGTCGTCCCTCGCCGTGGTGTGCGAGAAGGGAAGCAGGAAAGGGAAAGTCAGCGTATCCCTTACACTCCGCAGGGAAACCCACTGCGATGTCGACAAGTTGTTAGTGCTGTTTGCGAGTGACGACACATCGGGTAGCGCGAGTGCCGCTAAGCCCTGCGCACCGGTGAGGCTCAGCGACGGCAGGTCTGCACCCTCTGCCGTGTAGGTGTCTTCCATCGCCATTTGTTTCCCCTCCGCCATCTCAGAGCGTTGCTGGTACAGCTGTCGTGCGCGTTCGTAGCGACGTTTGTAGTGAATTGCAGACATCTTGTCCCGAAAGGCCTCCTCAAAGCGGCGATCCGGTACCAGAGTGAGTGCACGCTCTTTGTTCATCGGCATCGAACGCAGGAAGCGGCGCAGCCGCATCTGTTCCTCTGTTGCGGTATCCATTGCCTCCTCCATCTCACGCAACCTTTGCTGTACCTCGATGGCCTTGCGTTGAGCCTTGCGCAGCTCGTCCTGTGAGCCCACGATCTGGTTACGCAGGGTCTCCTGTCCATGGTGCTCCTCATCGAGTGCCCTCTGCAACTGTACCGTCTTCTCACGGTATAGGCGGCGCTCACTGTCGACTTGGCGCAGCAGATCGCGGCACTCCTCCAGTTGGGTATGCAGGGCGCCAATGGCAGGGATAATCTCACTGTTGTCTACTTGAGGTGCCGCGGCGCGAGGCGTCTGCGTGCCATATAGTGCATGTTTAAGGAGAGCGACACCACTATCTGATTCAGGATTACTCAGCCGCCGTGTGTTGTTAAGAAGGCTGTGCGAATTCGCCAAGACATTCTCCAGGGCGTCTTCCAGCACATTGTCCTGGCTTAGCGGCAGCGTCATAGGCAGCCTGTCGAAAATCATCGCTGACAATCTCACAAAACGCGGAACTATGAGAGGAATTGAAACGACACGAGCAGAGAGAATGAAAGAAGAAAGAAAATAACAACAAGACAAAGGCAGAAAAAATGTGACACAGCAATCGTCAAACATGGAAACGAACCTTTGAGCGTGAGGTGTAGGGTTAATGTAGAAGAATGCTGAAGCAGCATAGGGGGGAGGGCAGAAGGGGCTCAGACCTGATCCGTGCAGAGCTGTGGTAAAGAGGGACCCAATCACCATTCATGTCGTCACCACCAAATGCCCAGACGAAACACAGTGTCCACCATCAAACTCAATATGCTGCGTGTTAACGCAGTGCGTACATCTTTACCTTGAATAGATCGTTTGGCCATTCTTCTTGCATCGCCTCCTTAGCCACCTCAACACCTGCCGTGGCAAAGATGCGCTTGTAATGTTTATCTGAACGAGTTAGGCTGCTATCTTCCTTGTCCACGATGAATTTTTCGGCAGGGGCACAATTCTCCTTGAAAAAAATGTATCCCTTAGGAGTCAGTGCAGTCTTACAGTGTGCTAGAAACCTTGCAAAGTCTTCGTCAGTCAAGTAAATTGCCGCCCACTGGATAACGATGAGATCGTACGTTTTTGGTTTAAGCGTAGCCGTCTCCATGGACGAGAGGATGAATTCCCCTACTGGCAACCCCTTCAGTTCCTCTCTGGCCTGCTCAAGCATATTAGGTATCGGCTCCAACACATCCGTGACGGCATACGTATTGCTGAGAAGCGACTTGGTGATGCGACCAATGCCAGCGCCACAATCCAGAGCCCTTGTGGTGCCGCGGTCGGGAAGCGACATGATGAACGCCCGCGACTCCTTGATGTCCACGTCGTGAACATGGTCCATGCCGCCCAGCACGCCACTCACGGTGGCCGGCACTTTAGACCAGTACTCCAACGCCTTGCCGTACCAGCCGGTCTTGGCGTTGTAGAGGTCGCCGTGAAGCTCCCGCGCCCACATCTCCTCTGCTGACCTGTAGCGGCGGCCCTCTGTGTCAAAGCCTGGGATGCGCGGTGCTGCTGCCGCTCCCGCTGCTGCAGGCGCTGCGTTAGACTCCGCTGACATCGCGACGGCGGCCGGCAGCAACAATCGCACTGCTCGCCGCGTAATTAAAAGGCTTCTTGCGTGGCGTGGAGGAAGAGAAAACATGGGACAGTGAAGGGCGAGGGAGGCGAGGCAACGAAAAAAAGGAATAAAAGGGAATCTGGGGCCACGTATAACAGGATGTGGCATTTTGTCTCAGTCCACTCGCCAGTCTCGCTCCCCGCACCGACGGGAAAGCCCCGTTCAAAAGCGCCACTGCAGCGGCAGCTCATCGTGGTTTACAGTTGAGAGGATACAGGCAGGTGGAAATGCAGAAGTCAAAAACAAGGACATAATAATAAAGAAAAAATCAAGAGTTGAATCTTCTTTCAAGACATTCCTTTCCCACACGTAACAGGTTGAGCCTCTGCCTACGCATCATCCTCGTAAGGACTCGGGAAATAAGGCAACGCATACGTTGACGCGTCCTTCTGGTCTTGCTGTTTATCCACCATACGCCGCTGCTGCAGCGTGCCATTGCCCCACAGGCCATCCAGGTCGAGCGTCCCACCGGACATCTCGATGCCCGCCGACGCCGCCGCACACCACGCCAGTATCACGAAGAAGACCAGCATTCCCGGAACAACAAGAAACATAACCGCACCCACAAGCGTATCGAACACGGCGCAGATCCATGCGCCGGTGATACCGAGAAAGAGCACCGTCGGCATCACGGAAAATATGGATAGAAAAGTGATTGCTGTGCGCGGACTGCATGAGGAGAAGAAGCCGCTCCTGTTTCGGGCCCTCAAAAAGACAATACCCCCAGCAAACAGCATAATGCCATGGAGAACGGTCGCCGCGATGGCGATGTTCACCGTTGTACTTCGCGTGCTACCAGTGTCAGGGCTATCCATGCGTCGCCTTCAGAAAAATATTTGGTGGTGCTAAGGGGAGGGGGGCGGGCCCTTCGCCCTGCTGCTTCTGCAGACTGGGTGAGAGGCGCAGGGAAGTGAGAGCAACAGCAACAACAAAGACCGGTAGCAACGCCACACATCCCTGCTTCAAGCAAAAAGAGCATATTCACAGCAGATGACCACACAAAAACACACGTGACAATAAGGAAAAAAGGTATCATCAACTTCTCTTGCGCCTTATGGTTTGTTTGTTTGTTTTTTTACTATCCAACCTACACGATCCGTTCTTAACGGAATTTTACCTGCTTGCCGCCACGATCATCCGGCGCGGCTTCGGTATCTTCACCGTTGGCAGGTCCAGCAGCGCCACCAGGCGGTGCTTGCCCACAGCCGCCAGCGCCAGGCATAGTGTCACCACAACAGCGGTGAGGACGCTACCCTGCTGCTCCTCCACGGTACCGCCAATCTCTTCAACTGCTGCAGTCAACTCCACCCACAACACATCCTCGTCGTGATTCACCCCGCCACTGCTGCTCATCGGAATGGGCACGCTAAGACGAGACGCTGCCGTGTTGAGGCGGAAGCGGCGCTCCGGCATCCGCAGGAAGAGTCGAATCTCCGCAACGGTGGGCGGGAGACCGGCAAAGGCGAAGCTACGCGTCGCGTCGAGTGGGACGGAGCGAAGCACAGCACCGCTGGCTCCATCCACCGCTTGCACCTCAACGTACTGGCTAGCATTCAGCGGCACCGACACGCTACCCGCAAGACTCATCGCCCCGTACGAAGAAGTGGAAAGGGCACTGGAGGTGGATGTGAGGCACAAAAGGAGCAGCAGCAGTGGCAACAGGGGAAGCTGCTGTCCGAGGACGCGTGGCGGCGATGAAACTACCGCTAATGTCGCCATTGTGTGAGAATGCCTTCTACCTTCCTTCGTTGTCTCTTTTTCTCTCTCTCTCTCTCTGCGTTAGTCACTCTTTCCGAAACGCAAGTACAACGAAGGGTGGCACAGCAACAATAATTTCAAAAAGCGAAGTCAGAGGAACCAACAGAACGAAATATATATATAAATATATATATATATATATATAGCAGCAGCCCTAACCAATGCCAACTGGGACGTGCGGGTACACACTCTTGAGGTGTTTTCTTTTGGTTCTTCCCTCCATCCTTTCTTTTCTCGGACCGTTCCTGGATTGGTTGGAAAGGTGCTGTGTGCGCGCCGCGGCAGAAGGAGCGTCAATGGAAAAAAGAAAATAGAGACACACCATCTGGGAGCCGCGGAGACGGGGGAACGGCAACAGCACCGCTGGCAGGCGTTGGGCCGGAAACTAGAGACAATCTAAGGCAGAAACACAAACATATGAACGCATACACGTCAAGACGCACCTTCCCGTGCGGCGCGTCGCAACGCTTGTCAAAACAAAGCAAAAATGAGCGCGACTGAGCGATAGTGGAATGGTGTTGTTGTTGTTGTTGTTTTCGTGTTGCTACTTCGC